ATAAATGAAGTAAAAACCCTGGGAAATACAGTGGTGCACTGAAGGTTAGACCTGTCTGGGTGGGGTAAAAATTGTTTTGTGGTTCAATAAAAAAATTTTCTTTTTTTAGAAGTTTTTTTTTTTTTTTTTTTTTTTTTTTTTTTTTTTTTTTTTTTTTTTTTTTTTTTGGGGGGGGGGGGCTTTATAGCCATATTTGTTTCTTAAATGCATTTTACAAAGCACATTGAGTATTACTGCCAAATGGAATAAAATTTGATGTCAAATTCACACGCAAAGTCAACCCTGGATTGATGTACAGAGCTGAAACCATTTGATCCATCAGGAGGTAAGTTCAAGTGCCAGATTCATCATAATATTATGGGCCTGCCTTAGTGTACAGCTGTAACATGAATTCAAAGATAGATTTCAGAGAAGAAAAGCACACAAAACCCACATAAGAAGCAAACTTGTGTGAAGTAAGACACATTAATAAATGCTCTTTCTCAATTTTTCTTATTATTTTTTAATTTTGAAACTAATGGTCCAAATTGTGCCAAGGTTCTCTTTAAAAACTTCTGCCATTGAAATTCATTGTCTAATGCATTTCTTGATCGCTAAAATGGCTGCAAATACAATCCCAAAAATGGACCAAACTTGTTGCTTGATGATGTCATTGTGTCAGCAGCAGATAAAAAGTATACTGCAACAGGACAGTGTCATATTGAGTTATAACCTAATAAATTGAGATTATAAAATTGAACAATGAACTCTTAGTTTTGAAAATAGAACGCATTGATTGATTGAATTACATTGGAATGATGGACATTTTATTACAGCTTTTATGCAGATACCAAAGATGGCAGAAAGAAGAGGACAGCAAAACACTTGTGTGTGACAAACGTGACAGGGCTATTAATTTTATTATTATTGCGTGTTTGTCGTGATCTTTACTTAACATTTAACATTTATGTTTTCAGGTCTTTAACAAAAATATCTGTTTAAAGGAAGGTAAAATGAAGTTTGGTGGAAAAGTTTTTCAAAACAAAATTACAGAATTGGCACACTTGTTACACAAGATTTGCCGTCTTCTTTCCTCTCCTGTCCTGTTGCATAAGTTCACTATTATTAGCGGCCTGCATACATAGCAGTGCTTAGCAGGTATTCTGTGGCAGAGTGGGATCAAAAAAAGCATCAAACAACATTGTAGTAGTAATAATACCAGGTGCTGGAATATGCTC